AACATAGGCCCAAATTACTACCTGATCAGGTGAGGTTCTGAAGCCAGTCAGTAGCTTGCTGTTCTTTTCTTCTCTGAATGGCRCACACTTCAAGGCTTGAATAACATGGTTCCCACCATGTCGGACACGAGCATGCTCACCAAAACCAGTAKCTCCAGTTTGATCCTCAACCGGAAAACAGGGCACGGCTGATATAGATCCAAAGAGAGAGCAGGTGCTGGACGTAGGACCACGGTTCCACCTGACTGGATCTCTTCCTTTTATCCCCCTGCATCAGCACAAGCAGCCCTGTGCCGGAAATCAACCGTTTCACCCGCCAAAGCTCGCCTGACAACTTTTGATCACTTGTATTTCTGTGTGGGAACATCCCAGGAACTTGCAACCACCTCCAGGTTGTAGCGGAGATCCAGAACATTAAAACAGCCGTCTTCCGCCCAGATCTGACGCTCAGCTGGCGCTAGAGGCTCMGGAGTAAATTGAGTACTATATCGCCCACCAAAGCGCCTTTTTCGGCCAGTCGTTGGTTAATAGCTCCGCGGGGAAACGTCCCAGGAACTTGCAACACCTCCAGTTTGTAGAGGAGGACAACAGCTTTCCAAAGTCATCTCACTTTCCCGGACTCGATGCTCAGAGTCCGCGGGAGAAGCAAACAAATGTTGAAATTTCCTCCCAAAAATGCACATGAAATGCACTAAGTCGTGCGTAATTAGCTTATAGCTCCATGGGGCAATGTCACAGAGACTTCATTCAAGTATCAGCTTGTAGGGCAGAACCAGAGCTTTAAAACCCAACCAGCCACTCTGGGATCCGATGCTCCTAGCCCGGGAAGGGGGACTAAAACCACCCCGGCGGAGGTCCGACGGTGCATAATGTTGGAGGTTTTTCGCTTATATCTCCGTGGGGGAACGTTGCAGGGACTTCATTCTAYTTTCACCTTGTAGGGCAGAACCAGAGCTTTCAAACAAGACCAGCCATTCCGGGATGCGACGCTCAAAGCCGGCGCTAGAGGTTGCGCTGCGCGGGCACCTGGGAATCAGCTGGTGGCGAGCGACTGGTTGGKCACCCCTGGTCTACAGGGTGGTTGGCTGGAGCGGCAGCTTATCTGCAGCTGAGAGGTTAGATAAGCTCATCAGGAAGACCAGCTCTGTGCTGGGATGCCCCCTCCACACACAGTGCAGGTGGTGGGAGACAGAAGAACTCTGACTAAAATAATTGATGAACAACGTCTCCCACCCCATGAAGCTGTGGCTGAACTGAGAGCTCCTTCAGATAGACTGCTGCATCCGAGGTGCACAAAGGAGCGTTACTGTAGATCCTTCCTCCCATCAGCTGTCAGACTCTATAACCACCACACCCAAGAATAACAATATGTGTTTACGAAAATCACAATAAGTGTTTACAAATATCACAATAAATGTTTACAAAAATCATGTGTGTGTGTGTGTGTGTGTGTGTGTGTGTGTGTGTGTTTAGGGTCCATTCAAGGCTCATCACTCTGTACGGGGAGGAAGTGGATGAGGCTGAGTCGACCACCTCCTGCAACTGCTTCTGACACCAACATGCATTCATCCCACAGTAACCTGACAGTTTGTCCTGTAGCAACGTCTGCTGCACGTTTTAATCTTCTGTTACTCTGAAACTATGTAATTTAGGATTAGCTTTAGTGTCATGACTCATGTAAAAACTACCACACATTTATTAATTTTAATCTGATTATGTTTTTGTGGCATACAGTCAATGTTTTCCTCTTTAGTTTGAGTTTCAGTTTATTTTTTAAAATCTGGAATTATCTAGGGTTAGTATTTGATCCTATATTCATCATATGCATCTTATGCATTCCTTTCAGTAATATTTTTTGTATCATACTTGTTATTTTTATATTAGCTCACTCTGTGATGCTTTGCTTTTTACTTTTGTAAGCACCTGTAAAAATGTAGCCAAATGAACTTCAGATGTATAGAGTAAAAATACATTTCCATGTTGTGGTAGCAAACATTTAGTACAAAAAGCAGTTGTTACAAATGTATTTTGACTGCAGAATCAATGCTACATGGCTCAGAACTGCCTGATTCTATTGGCTTTACCAAAGATGGACGTCAGTAGCAGAACTCCAACAGCTCTGTAATTTATCTGGATTAGTAGAAGCTAAAAACAAACTGGTGGTGTAGTCTTTCAGAAAAACTGTTTTAAAACTCCCCATGTCTGACTACAGAGCAACGTGCATAAATTTGATTAAAAATGAGGCATCATTTTTGGAAACTGGATCAAAAAATTTCAGGGGGATGGAGTTTCTTTTTAAACTATCAAATCATTTTGGGGTACTAAATTACTTTTTTGTAGTTTTTTTCTTTTTTCAAAACTTTCCATGAAATAAATATGACAACTTTTAAAACTATCTGAAATATATATGTTTTTAATTAAAGGTCTCTGATGGGTTTGTAGGGGTCACCCCCAGGGGTAATAAACATTCCCACCTGTCTTTGACCCTGGTCTCAGAAGACCTCCCTCAAAAGAGACGTTTTATTTTCTTTAATCAAGATAATAAAACAATATTGTTCTTTATATTTTAGATTTGTTTTCTGTTAACTAAAAGTTATTGTAATTTTATAAATCAAAGTTACATAATGAAATAATTGACCATATTCTTGCATTATAATTAAAAAAAGAAAAAACACAAAAATAATATTGTTCCAGTTTTTCTTTGTTTAATGCAAATTCTTGTTTTAATCAACTGTTATTTGACAGTTATGTGATTATGTTTTTTTCTGATTTATTTTTCTTTAAATTGATCACAATGATTTAGTTCACTGTTTTATTCTGAAATATATACAATTGTGTACACATACTGTATGTTTCATGCTGCATGTTTCCATCTGCTTCCCAAACAGAATGGTAC